ATGGGCTGCTGGGTGATATGGCTGCTGCTGCATTAGATTTATAGAGTTCAAAAGTTTTTTTCTTCTTTTTTTAAATGAATTATTTTGTAAGGTAATTCATGTTTTTATTCAGCAAGGATGAATTAAAATCATGAAACATGACAAAGACTTTTACTTTGCTACATTACTTTTGTATTTCAAATAAATGCTGTGTTCTTTAACTTTTTATTCATCAAAGAATCCTGATAAAAACATATGGGGACCAAATGTCCCCAAAAGGATAGTAAATCCTGACATTTTTGACATTGCGGGGACTGGCCTGCGGTCCCCACGAGGAAAAAAATGATTAAAAGTAGTAAATTATGTTTATCTGAAAGTGTAACAATGCAAATGGGTTTTCTGTAAGGGGTAGGTTTAGGGTTAGGGTTGGGTTATGGGATAAAAAAATATTGTTTGGTCAGTATAAAAGTAATGGAAGTCTATGGGATGAATACAGTATGTAAAATGGTGTATGTTGTATTATATATATATACTCAAAATGCATCAGTGCCCAGTATGACAGTTTAACATTTAGTGACTGTTCCTGTGATATGAGTGCCTACAGACCATCTGTTTAACTGCCGTTTTTCAACATGATGTTTCTGGGAAACTACTGCAGTTTTAGCCTCCATCTGGACCTACAAGTCTTTTATGAACTGCACTTGAGGTCCTCTGGAGCTCACAGTTACAAAGTTAAGATAAAGTGCAGAACCAGCAGGTATGTTGCAGTAAAATGTGTAAAGAAACAGCTGCATGAAAGCCACATTCAGTGATTTGCTACAAACTATAAGTAATAATGTATAGTCAGTCTGTTACGTCTCATAAAAATAAACCTCAGCAAAAAACATGATATATGAAACATTTTATTGTATTATGTCAGCAGAGGGCACAAATTTGAACAAAAGTTGGACAGTTTAGAGATCATTATCCAAACATGTTTGACCACAGAGTATCTTGTTTTGCCAATCAGAATCAAGAATCCAAGTCTTGCAGGCTTGTTTGTTCATTTGATTTGGAGATATAAATACATTTATAATTTTACACTTAGTCCCAAAAATTAGATAAGCTTCCATAAATAGCTAGGAAAGATATCTCCCTAAATGCCTGACTTCTCGGAGTATAAAAAAACTCACAGTCTTTAGGAAAAAGACAGGGATCAAAAAGGCAGAAAACAAATGAGCAGAAAAGTATCTTTGAATGACAATTAAGCCAGAGATCAGAGGCGAATGTACTATGAATTGTTAAAAAACGTGTCTCGTTTGTTGTACAGGATTGGATGGTAAATGATGGTTCATTTATTTGGAGGCTGTGGATTCTGTTATTGTTTTATGACTCTGGTTCTGAATCCTCTTACTCTGAGAATGTGGCCTCAAGACAGCCTTTATGAAATATTCAGGCCTGAACATTGATCCAGAGACATAAAGACACTGCTAACAATGCTATGAATCCCAGACTGCAGGCAATGAACATCTATAGCTCACAGCAGAAGGATTTCTGGATCTGTCGTCCTCTAATCCTCAAGCTGGACCTGAAGGAAACATTTCTATTAGTTTGAGAGTACAGTGTCGACTCGTTCGTAATGCACCAAAAAAAATCCGAAAGTTAAGCAGGCTATGAGCGAGCTCTCACAGAATGCAGAAGCACTCTCTGGATGTATGATGTGTATTAATACACTAGTGGTCAAAAGTTAAAAAAAAAAGCATAGCAGCATTTGTTTGATCAAAAATAAAGCCAGAGATCAGAGGCGAATGTACTATGAATTGTTAAAAAACGTGTCTCGTTTGTTGTACAGGATTGGATGGTAAATGATGGTTCATTTATTTGGAGGCTGTGGATTCTGTTATTGTTTTATGACTCTGGTTCTGAATCCTCTTACTCTGAGAATGTGGCCTCAAGACAGCCTTTATGAAATATTCAGGCCTGAACATTGATCCAGAGACATAAAGACACTGCTAACAATGCTATGAATCCCAGACTGCAGGCAATGAACATCTATAGCTCACAGCAGAAGGATTTCTGGATCTGTCGTCCTCTAATCCTCAAGCTGGACCTGAAGGAAACATTTCTATTAGTTTGAGAGTACAGTGTCGACTCGTTCGTAATGCACCAAAAAAAATCCGAAAGTTAAGCAGGCTATGAGCGAGCTCTCACAGAATGCAGAAGCACTCTCTGGATGTATGATGTGTATTAATACACTAGTGGTCAAAAGTAAAAAAAAATAAAAAAAAAAGCATAGCAGCATTTGTTTGATCAAAAATACAGTGAAATCTGTACTTTTGTGCATTATTTTAACAATTTAAAAGAACATTTTATATAGGTTTATATATATATATATATTATAAATGTAATTTATTCCCGTGAAAAGCTGAATATTCAACAGCCATAACTCCAAGTCTTCAGTGTCACATGATCCTTCAGAAAGCATTCTAGTATGCTGATTTGATGCTCAAGAAACATTTATTATTATTATTATTAATGTTAATGCTACTGCTTAATTTTGTGAAACCGTGATACACTACTATTCAAAAGTTTAGGGTAAGTTTAAAAAAAAAAAAACTTTTATTCAGCAAGGATGGATTAAATTGATCAAAAGTGACAGTAAAGACATTTATAATGTTACAAAAGATAAACTATTTCATTAAAGAATCCTGTATTGCTATTTCCATAAAAAATATAAGCAGAAGAGCATTGATAATAATACGAACCATTATCAATAATTGAGCAGCATAGTAATTGACAATAATTGAGCACCAAATCAGCGTATTTGAATGATTTCTAAAATGCTTGTAATTTTTGTGACTGCTCAGGGTCATGGGAGTTCAGTGCCCTATGTCAGAAGGAATTTATACGATATTACTCGTATTGTGTGTAGCCTCATATTTTATGCGACATGGCCAAAGCATACATGCAATTAGTTGTTATCACTGAGAAAAATATAATTCTTTGCTAAAAGGCCTCAGCCATACACAAAACTATAGCATGTTGCTGAGATAGATTTTTGGTCATCATTTATGGCTGTGCATTGAAGTGTGAAATTAAAAAAAAAAGTGGAAAGAGGTTTTGCGAGAGACAGTGGTTGGGGGGGGGACATTACCCTGATTTTCTAAACTAAACGCTACATTTGCATGAAATTATATTTCTCTTGTCAGAGTCTGAGAGTGCCATTTCCACATTTTCTCCAGCTTCATCCTGCAGCCCAGAGCAAAACCCATTTAGAGAGTAGAAGGTTGTTTTGATAATGAAAGCATCTGACTGCTTACTGACGAAATGGCGAGGCAATGTGAGGTGAAGCAACGCATCTACTTGTGGCTTCACACCTTAGGACAGATCACATACGCACACACACAAACACCTTGCTGTGTTGACACTCAAGACGAACACGCTCTAGGCCAAAAGAGCTGAACAATTCTCAACATTTTCCTGGCTTTTGCTATTAAAGACGTTTATTTCTTCTACTTTTTCGACTGCATGGACATTTTAATAGTTATTAAAAAGTCTAGGTAAAAGAAGGGCTTTAAATGTCATCGAAAAACTGATAGCCCTCGGAACTAATGTGTATTTGATAAAAACAAAAACAGGTCTGGCAGCTTATTACTCCAAAGTAGCTGCATTATTCCCATTTAAATGATTCACAGTGATAATTAAGTGAGTCATTAGTGACTTTTCACTTTAAAAACATTGTTTCTCCATTGTAAATGAGAAAGTCACTCTGCACTGCTCACAAACACAGGTTTGGAATGTTAACAGACAGGTTGAGTGATATAAACTGCTTGACCAATCAAATTACTGGACCGGGAAAAGGCTAATGCTCTTTTGTTTGGCCTGAACTCTTCTTTTTGTGCTATTAATTAACTTAAAAAGTTTGTCCTCAAACTTTCTCTGAGGACTTGATCACGTATATTGGGTGTTCTCTTTCAAAGTCACCTGAAGATGCCAGTTCCTCTGTCCACATTAGCATTGCTTCAGTTCACCATTTTCATTTCATTTCCCACAATTCCTTAATGAACACTTGCAGCCTCTCTGTATCTACCACCAGGAGGTAAATCATCTGCCCTTCCCTTCCAGCATGTTGTCACTTTTATTACATCTCCGCAAA